TAGCATATTTTGCAAGTCTAATTTACCAGACAGTCAGGTTTTCTGGCTGACCTCTTTTTTATTTTATATCCCCTTGGGCAATATGAGAAATGAAAGCCGAGCTCTCTCTCTCTCTCTCTCTCTCTCTCTCTCTCTCTCTCTCTTTCTCTCAAACACACACCTCTGTCTGCCTGTCTTACACACACACACACACACACACACACACACACACACACACGGGATGAGAAGGGAAGAAAGGCAGTTTTCATGAACTCCATTAGCACTGTCTCCCAACAGTAGCCAGGAGCCCCCTCTTTCACATCTTAAGAACCCAGGTCTCTCCAAATGCAGGTCTAGGCCATCCAACATCTGACCTAGCTTTCAACCTAAAGCCTCAGAGATGCGCATTTCAGAATCTTGCATAGATATATAGACCATCTGCTTAGATAGGGATGACTTCTTCTCACTACTAAAATGGTTCAATTATTTTGATCCATAAACATCAATTCTCCATTTCATCCTTAAATATAAAAGTTTAATACCATCTACAGTTTGAAGCGAACATTCAATGGATATACATGATTTGTGGTTGCGCCACTGTTTCATGGCTTTGCCACTGCTTTCCTTCAGCAGTGAGAGCCCAGGCTGCGGAGAGCTGGGTCCCTTTAGGAACTATGTTGAACAGAGAAGGAAGGAGACCAGAGATAGAGAGGGGACAGCTTTGGTTTTCCTCTTGTCTAGGTTCCGATGGAGTATACTGAAGAGGGGCACTCTCATGGTACGTCCGTGGAGACGGCAAAGCTGTGTGTCTTTGTTCCCCAGAAACATAAATGGTGCCAGGGCCTTGCATGTCCATGATCAAGAATCTCCACTCCTCTTAAACCCACTGTGTTTGTTTTATCTTAACACATCCACCACCTGCTGGCTCACACAGGTCTGTCTTTAGGCTGCCTGGCAGCACCGCTGGCCACCTCACACCAGCTCCATGTGAGGAGGTGGCATTTTGGCGGTTTCTCCTCTGCGCTCTATTTGATAGGAGCGCAGTACATCACCCCGTGGTCTGGCTCCAGCTCCACTAGTCTGTAGCTAATGAGCTAATGTAAAACAAGCTGCTTCCCGAGTGAGACTGGGGAGCGCCTGGTTCCAAGGTCTAGGCTCTCACGTTTCAGCCAGCGGGAGAGCTCTGGGAAACCACCTGGGTCCAGAAGCAATTGCCCTTTTCCTTCCCAGGAAGAAGCAGAGTCTCCAAGAAGGGAATCATGGGTACTCCTTCTACAGAGGTCTCAAGGGACTACACACTAGGGAAATGACTGGATCTACATGCAGATTTACACGCAGGTGTACATTAGTGGGTGTATGAGCATGTGATCACACACACACACACACACACACACACACACACACTCACACCCTCTCTGCACAGCGCCCTGAGGAATCCCAATATATTGCAATGCATCTTCCAGGAATCAATCTCAGCTGACTTGGAGCCGCTACAGAATTCTCTAGGGAGCAGAATATCAGAAGACCCAGAGGTCATAGGGCATCCAGAAACTTTAGGGCTTGCTCTCTGAATAACTGAATTTTTCAGCTAATTTAAGATTGCCCCATTTAAGCACAAAACCATTTTGCTGTTTTTTTTTTTCAAATTGATATTTCAATGAGTTTGGATATAAAAGTCATAAACCTATTATATGTGTTCAATTCTGTTCCTGTTAGTTAGTCTCATTGCTGCAGCTCAAGGTCATTGTCATAAACATCAGGGGCTGTGCTTGGCTAGAAATTATATGACCAAAGGCTGCAAAGACACCACCGCCCTTTCCACCCCAGTGACAACTAAAGTGGATGAAAACAACAAAAAATGGGGCTTCCCGTAAAGGGTCCAGAAGCAGAAGTCAGAGAGTGGCCAGAGAGAAAAAGAAGTCCTCAGCAAGCCTGTTGGCAGAAGCCATTCTTCAAAGCATGAGGCCTGGGGACCAGAAAATAGCTCAGCAGCTTCTACTGCAGGCAACAAGACATTAAAGTGTACAATGTCAAGTGGCTGAACAGCATCAAAGAGAATGGTCCAGGATTCCATCCTCAGCACAGCAGCACATCAGAGTGATGTAATTGAAAAAAAATTAAGGAAGAAAAGAGATACTAGGAGTATAAATGTATTTGTTTCTTTGGGTCACATTGAAATGCATCTGATGCCTTTAGCAACCTGGCTGCTTTTCACAGACACCAGTATTTGCTGATCTCCCAACACTCACTCTACTCTCTAGACCAGTTTTCCTTGTTTGTTTGTTTTTCCTCTTCTGGCTCTCCAGATGTATTAGTTTGATTTCTTTCACTGTGATAGAGACCATGACCAAAAGGAACTTGGAGGAGGAAAGGGTTTATTTCATCTTACACTTCCAGGTCACACTCAATTGAGGGGAACCTAGGCAGGAACTCAAGAACCTGGAGACAGGAACTGAAGCGGAGGCCATAGGGGAACATTACTTACTGGTTTGCTTTCCATGACTTGCTCAGTCTGCTTCCTTATACCATCCAGGACTACATGATCAGGAGGTGGTACCACCCACACCCATCACTAAGTAAGAAAACACCCCACGAGCTTCCCGTAGGCCAATCTTATGGAGGCATTTTCTCAGTTGTGTCCCCTCTTCTCAGATAATTCCAACTTGTGTCAAGTTGACAAAATCAAAGCAAACAAACCAAATAACCCAGCCAGGACACAAGGGGAAGAACAAATCTTTAGGATTTGCCATGAGCAGAATAGAAAAGACCAGGAGTCTTGAGAGTCAGAACCAGATTCCTGTGCCATGCCAGCTGCTTCTACTCTTGTGACTCTGACTTGTCACTTAATCTCTGTTGTGGAATATTAGTTAAGGATGTGTTACATTTGCTTATGCTGTAGAATATTTGTTTAATGATGCAAAGATGTGTTTCATTCTTTCATGTTGCATTTGTTTAACTCTGTGAAGCTGTGTGCCTTTGCCTGTCTAAAACACCTGATTGGTCTAATAAAGAGCTGAGAGGCCAATAGCTAGACAGGAGAAAGGATAGGTGGGGCTGACAGGCTGAGAGAATAAATAGAAGGAGAAATCTGGGAGGAAATGAGGAGCAAAAGAAAGAGGAGGAGAGGAAGACTCCAGGGGCCAGCCACCCAGTTACACAGCAAGCTAGACAGACAGAGGGAAAGAAAGGTATACAGAAAAAGAGAAAGATAAAAGGCCAGAGGCAAAAGATAGATGGGATAATTTAAGTTATCAATTGACTTAAATTAATTAGAAACAAGCCAAGCTAAAGCCAGGCATTCATAAGAATAAGTCTCCGTGTGATTTATTTGGGATTTGGGTAAAGAGTAAAAGAAACAACCAACTACAAATCTGAAATTCAAATTAGCATCTTTCTCTCTAAAGTGGAGAAAGAAGAAGGCAGAAATAATACCAGACAGGGCAAGGGCACAGTCCAGAGGAGTCACATGACTCGCCTCTGCTGAAGTGGCCACAGTACAGGCGGGAGCACAGACACAGACATGCCCTGTATAGACGCGGGGCTGGCTGGCTCAGTACTGTCTATGAGACATGAGCTGTGCAAAGTGAGCTCTTGGAACCCATGTGAAGACTCAAACACTCATACTAACAATAGGGTCCAGCCTAGCAAATAAGAAAACGCTCTGCCTGCCCACTCCACAGCTAGTTCCTGAGCCCTCCTTAAGAGCTGTTTATACATCCTCATGAACTCACAGACGACAGCACGTCCAAGTACAGTAATTTCCCACTTTCATAATGAATATGAGGAAAAATCTTCATCTTGATTATCTGATTTTCCAAATCATTAAAACCCAGGAAGATGAGATCTTTGCCATCTAGATATCAATTGCTTTCTTTCTTCAAGTGAACTCACCTGTGAACCACACTGCTAAACCCTAAGGAGGGATCTGTTCTTAAACTCCTTCCGCCTCTCTGTTTGGTCTCTACTGTGCCTGGAGGTCACCTTCTCCTGGTTTTTCCTTACCGGAACACCTATCCTGGGTACATGCAATAAGCCCACCAAGCATCTGACAGTTTAGCTTAGTGGGAGAGTACTTGCCCAACATACACAAGGCACTGAGCCTGATTCCCAACAAAATCAATAATATAAACTGAATTGAAATGCCCGTCCCTACAATGCTGCTACTCCGAACGACCCCTCACCTTGTTTTAATACACTTTAATATGGTTTTGGAAGCCTGTGTGAGCACCCAGCTCCTTGCGGGGAGTTCCCAGCCTCTGCCCTCTACACCTGCACATGCTGTTCACACGGCATGAGTCATTTAACTGTGAGTTTGCACATCTGCCTTCCCCACCAGATGCCAGGCTCGAACAAACAGCTTCATAATGCATATAGATAACCTGGGGACCTCCTTAAAATGGGCCAGGTCAGGAAGGAGCGTCTGCACGTCTCATAGCTCCTAGCTCACTCGAGCCTCGGCCCCACACACTTTGCCTGAGCCACCAGATTCAGAGTAGGTGCCTGAAATTTCAGGGGCCCCGTCCCTCATCTGTGTTTCAATCAGATGCCCAGCAGCTCCCTGACAAGATGAGAGGGCAGACGTCAGGGAGGCCGGCAGGATGCAGAACAGCACATACACACGTGGGCTAGATGGCAGTACACTGGGGGATCAGCTTGTCAGAGGGAAAGCAAACAGTGAGGCGGGAGACAAGGCTTATAGTGAATAGGATATGGGAAAGAATGGCAGAGGCAGAAGGGAAGAAGACAAGGGAGAGGTGAAAGAGATGCAAAGGAGATGGGGGGGAGCCCTGGTTAGCTGCCCTGTGGACTAAAGTCTCCCGAGATGGGTACTCTAGTCCTTACACCATTGAAGGATGATACGTAGTGTTGGCGCTCCCTTCTCTGTCTCTTTCTGGCTGAGCAACGAGGGACCTGCTGTTTCAGTAAGACTATGAATGAGCAGGACTCATGTCACAGGTGTGCAGAAGACAATCCGGCAGTAGACAGTATTTCAGCCACCATGCAACCCAAACAAAGGTTACCTGATACAGTTCGATGCGTTGTTCAGCCACTCGGGCTTTGGGGTTCTGCAAACGAAAGACCCTGAATTCTGCCTTCACCAGATTAGAAGCATTCTTCTCCATTGTCGAGACATCAAAGCGGACAATTCTGAAGTAGGGTCTGTAGAAAGTGGGCGGGATGGCATCTGTAAAATGTTAGGGCAACAGTTGAGAAAGATTAAACCCATCGTGCTCTCGAGAAAGACCACAGTGTGAGATAGTCCCAGGGAGCCATGTGGGAAATGTCTACGGAATTTCATTTCCAATGGCCAATTTAATACCATTAACAATTTAACCAGGAACAAAACGAAAATCAACATGTGTGTTTAGTTCCAGAGAAGCAGATTAAGAACGATTAACAAACCATTTCCAACCACGTCTGAAAGCAGGCAGTTAACCCTGTCTCTTGAAGGCTGACGGACCAGCGGAAAGCCCTAGATGGTTATGGACTGGAACAAGTTCGTGACAGTTGATGGCTGGAGAGAGCTGCTGGGCTTGCATACACTTTAATCAGATATGCCAAGAAAATCGCTCCTAAATAGCAAGCCTTCTGCCCATGTGTTTTTTTTCCTTGAAAGTTTGGCTCCAAATACTCTACTCCTATTCAGCCTCATGGACTGAGTCGTTTCTTACTTTCAAAGCTTGAGTTTTCGCGCATATGACCAAGTTATGATAAGGCAATCTGAAAAGTAAAAATAGATCCACAAGCTACCCATACCTGGTCCAGCCCTCAAATTCTGGTGTGTGTGTGTGTGTGTGTGTGTGTGTGTGTGTGTGTGTGTGTGTGTAACATAATCAGCAGGTAGGTGGAAGGTGATCCTTGCGATGAAAGAAGAAAGCATCAATTTTTTTTTTTTTATTTTGGAGCCTTGTGGAAGACAGCATTTGTGGTTGTACACAGTAATTTCAAGATCATTGCTTAGAATTCTGTTACTGTTGCTTTTGAATATGAAAGTGAGGTTACCCTAAGATCGAGCAGGTTGTCCTGCCTCTCTGATGTCACCTCCAATTTTCATTGAGCACCAACACTGGGACAACAGGCCATTGGATTTTGGGTATGTTTCTATAACCTTCCAAAATTTTCCTGTGGATTGACCTTCCCCATCCCACAGTATTCCCTCTAATCTAGAAGCACTACTTCATTTTGCCCTTTGTATGCTCACAAGGACTTATTACAATGTAATCATTCACACTTGACATTTCTCTTAGAATATGCTGACTGTTTCTGTCTTGTGTTTGTTTGTTTTGCTTTCCCCTGTGAAATTTTAAAAATCTGGAAGGTAGAGATTACCTGTAAGGAATCCCCCCCCCCCCAAATGCTACATATTCAGGGCAGGGTTCTAAATGCCAGGAGTTCCCCAGAGATCTGTTTGCATAGTTGATCATCAATGGGGCCTTGAATGAGCCAGGTATCAGGCCATTGGCAACACTAACTTATTAAAGAAGTCTCCGTGCCGATCTTGAAGCAGATATAAATATGTCTCATGACAATTATACTGGAGCCCGAGGGCCACTGGAAACAAACCCAAGTTCCTCATCTTTAGGGGGTCTGCAGTTTTCGCCTCATAGGTGCCTTTTCTTATCTCTCCCCATGTCCTTGAGACTGGGAATTCAGGCTTATGAATTCCGAGTCATTTGCCCCATGAATTCAGGCTTTGTAGCTGGCAAACCAGAACTCTCAGAAACAAACAAACAAACAGCCCCACCAATCCAAAATAAGCCGACTTTGGAGAAATGAAGGCATTCACTGAGACACTGAGATGGCCCTCTGTGGAAGAGATGGTGGAAGCCTTCAGAGCAGCAGGAGAGTCTTTGGAGTCCTCTAGCATAGCAATTTTGTAAGGCAGCTGCTGAGCAACATCATCTTTTTCTTTGCTTGGAATATAACCATCCCAGCAATCATGATTCCTAGCCCCGTGCTAAGTAGCCCAGCTGAAAACAGCTCTGTTGCCCTGGTAGAGCCTGCCAGGCAGAACGCTCAGGCCAGGCTCCCTGGTTTTCCACACCATCTTGGCCAGAACCTTCCACAGGAGACATGGCCACATTCATCTTTGCTTATTCTCTATGTTAGACAGCAGAGGCTTCAAACATCCTTTGAAAGCACATCCTGGAAGAGCAAGACCAATTTTGTGTGTTTCCTGCCGCTAGCCAGTGTAAACATCTTCCTTTCTCCTCTCTTCTAGCCAGGCAGCCCCTCTGGACCCATTCGACTTCCACAAAGCAGCCATCTTTCACACCCCTCTGCCACAATCCTCTCCTTCATCGAGTTTGTAAATAAGTGCTTTCCAGATTTATTTTTATTCTCTTTTGTGTTTATTAAACTTTGAACAATTTTTCCCCCTTTCTGGTCTTCTGCCCATATACACGCGCTTCCTTTTTATGGCTGCCTCAGCCCGTGAGGTCAATTTTGTTTCTACTTCTTCTAAGCAATCTCCAAATGATCCTGTCCCAGGCTTTTGAGCTCCGACGGAGCTTCGGCAAATATTTACAAGAGTCGCTTGATGGCTAAGTGCGGTCCCTCAACTGTGTTCCCCGCGTCCCCCGGTCCTTTCTGCTGGCTCACAGAATCATTTAGACAGTCTATATTTCAACTGGCTGATAATGCCAACCTGCACTGAGGTCCCTGGTTTGTAAATAAAAGCAGTTTAATGTGCAAGGCAGAAGGCTAGCTGAGCACCTCTGACCAGCTTCTCTGGTCAGGTCTTGGAACCAAGAGAAGCAACCAGGCCTGGAGGAGGATGTGATCAAGGAACTCAATAAAAGTTGCTGACCCAGGAACCACCACTTTTAAGGGAGCACTGCAGCTGTCCCTACTGTCATTTGCTTACTGGTCACAAGTCCCCTGACCTGGATGAGGGACTCGAGCAGTTTGCCAAATGTCCTCTCATTTGGGGGAAATATAGCTATAAACTGCTCCACCAACCAGAACCAGAACAAGGTAAGCTCACTCCTTCAGCTCAGAGTGCCGAGCAGCAGGTAGAGGTCTAAGGACTTGAGCAGCCCAGATCCACCTGCTTAGCTTTGGAGGAGGAACGAGCTGTTTGCTCTGCCTCCCCCTCTGGGATGGGTTCTTGCTATGATCCTCTGGTAATTCCAACCCCAGTTTCCATCCTCTCGCCAGGCCAGGTACTCTTGCTTGACCGACACCAGCTTACCCACACTGACAGCCTGGCCTACTCCCCCCTCTCCATTTCTGACCCACGTTTCCAACTCAGGCAAACTGATTTTCCTCCAACTGTTTGGCTTTCACAGCAGCCGCTGACTCTGTTGGTTTCCTATGTGCCTTGCACTCAGAGGAAACCGTGTGGTTTGAAGAGTCCATGTTTCATGGATTGAGCGATCTCCCCTTCACCTTGCTCTGACTATACATCTTTGCTAAACCAAATTTGAGAAATTGGAGAGCTGGGGGACAGGGATTTAACTCTTTGATAATTTTGCAAAGTATATACAGAAAGCTAAATATTAGCATTTAATCATATACTACTTTATAAATACTACAGACTGACTTCAGTCTGTTCCAAATATCTAATTTATTATGTATATTGTATTCTCTCTCTATAAGCACCTTCTCGGGTGTCTTTTATTTACAGTTATTTATTTCTTCCTAGCCCAGAGCTGACTTCTTGAGCTGGTGACCAGAGCATACACATAGGGTCCCTGTGCTTGGAAAGGTACCACACTCCAGCTAAATGCGCTGCAGTGGCATCTTGAAATCCTTAACTTTTTATTCATGTTTTGTGAGAAAAGTCCTACCTGACAATGGGGTATGAGGCTTGGAACATCAGCCCATGCACTGACAATCTTTCCAGAATTCTTTGCCTCTGCTTTTCGCTCTCTGGTGGCCCCATCCTCATTCAGTGTTCTTAGATCACCTAGTGACCACTGTTATTCTCTACACCTAGAAGGGGTTAGGTGCACAACCCAAGCATTTCATGGTGGCAACTCTCACATCTCTGCTGGCAGTGCTATGGCGCACTGAGAGCAACATTCAGCAGGACCACACCTCGGCCCGCTCTAGGTACCAAGCCCAGGCCACTGTGGAGTTTACCATATCTTGGGATAGAGCGACAGATTTATGGAATGAATATGCTAGCTTGGTAGGGCATCAGTGGCAGGTAGGTGATATTTCTTTCCTTTTTTCCTTCCTGTCTGTGTCTTTCTTCTTTCCTGGTGCTTTCTTCCCGGTGATACTAGTGATCTAACACAGGGCCTCATGCATATTACACAATTGCTCCACAACTGAGCTATTTCCCCAGCTGTTCTAGAATTTCCTGCAGCCCCTCTATTTTTCTGACTGTTTGTGCAAGAGACCCCATGGTTTCCCTTTGAAAAAGATCCTCTGCCTTGTTTCCCTATCCCCGCTACAGTCACACAGAACAAGAAGCTCTTGGGGCAGGAAAGACCTCAGTGGGATCTCAGTTCTAATACCAAGTCAAGCAGAGCTTGGCTGAATGGGCAGCAAGGACATGATCCGGCTTTTCTGAGCTTGTCTCTTCATCTGTACAGCCAGGCAAAGAGATAGTGAATGGTGCTGCTAGGATCACAGGAGCAAGCAGAAGGGAAGTTGGAACCCTGGATCCTGCACACAGCTCTACCCAGGGCCCTCGCAAAGATGCCAAGTGGCCATTGGGCCTCTGTAAATGCGCCCGGGAGGGAAGCTCTTGCTGCCTGACAGAATTCATTAGAGGCAAAGAGAAGGAAGAAAAACAGCAGCATGTCCCAGGGCACTGTATAAAGGGCTCAGTGTCTCCTAATTCCTGTCCCCTTTTTGGGGAGGAGCTAGTCACCAGAGTCTTCATGGTTCCCACCATCTTCCACTTGGGGTACTGAAAGTCCTGGCCACTCCAAGGGGTGACCAGATAATTCTGACTTCCCACACTCACCCAGAATGTTCAAATGAGGTGTCCCCCCGCCAAAAAAAAAAAAAAAAAAAAAAAAAAAAAGCCAGGTGTAATAGCATTTGCTCGCTCATAATCTCAACATTTGGAGGCTGAGGTGGGAGGACTCATGGGTGAAGCCAGCTAGACTATACAAGTACTGTTCTAATTCTAAGCTAGTCAGGGATACATAGGAAGACAAAACAAAAACAGCAATAACAAGAACCACCACAAAAATCCCACAAAGAAACCAACGTGAAGAAAGGTCT